TTTATGTTATGTAAAACTATTCTCGGACCTTCAGTAGAGTTCGTTTAACTCCCAGATGGACTCTTGAACGACCATTATGGACGACCATTATGGCACAGCTGTAGAACATTCGGCACTTTAGCCTTATGGACAACCAGTTGCAAACGACAGCTGTCTTCTCGACCATTGTCCCATTTACGGTACAGGACTCCATCCTGAATCAGCAAGCCGTCCCACTGGGCCCAATAACCTCTAGTGGTCGAACTCATCGTTGAGACGTCGCTCCACTTAGGCTTGGTAGCACGGGCCTTCATCCATTCCAGAATCGGCTTGATGTCCGGATCTTCCTGCTGTGCATGTCGTAGGCTGTCCTTCCACTCGTTGCTGAGGTGGTCTGTCCTGAGCATCCTCACGGATACCACTTCCTTACTCTTTTGCCTAGTACAATGTTTCCAATCTTCAGGACAAGGTCTTTTTGACAATGTATCTGCGTTGCCATGAGATTTCCCGCTGTGATGTCTGATAGTAAAGTTGTATCCCGGCTGCAGCTGGGCGGTGATGTTAGCCGCACTTCCCTTCTGAGATCGTTCACCTTCCCTTTCTAGGGTTCGCTTAGGGCAGTTGGATCGAAGATGGCCCCTTTCCCCACAGCCGTAGCACCTAGGGCTGTATCCTTTATTGTGGTCGCGAACCGTAACTGCTGCAACCTCCCTATCGCGAGGGGAACGTTGATCCCGCCACCGCCAGGCGGTGCCGTTAGCTGCACTACCCTCTCGAGATCGATCAACTCTCCTTTCTACAGTTCGCTTAGGGCAGCTGGAGCGAAGATGGCCCCTTTCCCCACAGCCATAGCACCTAGGGCTGTTTCGTTTGTTGCGGTCGCGAACTGTAGCTGCTGCAACCTCCCTGACGCGATGGGAACGATGATCCTGCCGCACTGCTTCTACCTCCAGTGCATGGGCCAAGGCGTCCTTAAGCGTCTTGTAGTGCCCGAGCCTCACAGCAGCTCTGACTTCCAGGTCGCGGATGCCGTCGATGAATGTCTGTACCAGGTTCCCTTCAATGAGCGCAGGTACAGACTGGTATGCTTTTCGAACCATCTTCTCCACCTCAGGGACCCACTGCTGCAGATTTTCGTTGCTGCGTTGCACGCGATTTAAGCTGCGCGTGAAAGACGTGTTCCAGGTGAGCGTCACCATATCTCGCTTCCAATGCCTCAAGGAGCTGCTCGTAGGTCACTTTCTTACCGAGAGCTTCCAACACGGTTAAGGCTTGGTCGCGCAAGCCTAAGGTGAGTGCAGTCATGACCTGGCTTTTATTCCAGCCGTTTGCCTCCATGACGGCCTCGAACTGGATTTTGTAGGCCGACCAGGAAGAAGTCCTGTCGAACGGCGGCACTTGAATCCACGTAGCGAAGGTGCTTTAGCTACTACGGGAGCTGTAGTTCCATCTCAAGTTTGAGGTCGTTCAGCGTTTTCTTCACGTCAGCCATCACGTTGTCAACCCGATTGTTCACATGGTTGATTCGGGTTTCATGTTCTTCGATTCGGGTTTCAGCTTCCGACAGGCGGTTGTCATGTTGAGCAACCCTATCTTTCACCTCCCTTATCTCTTTCCCAAAGGTAGCGTGAAGGTCCTTCATGAGGAGCATCTGTTCCTCCTGTCGGCGGGCCTGTTCCTCTTGTACGCTCTGCAGCTGCTCTTTCAACTGACGGATCTGTTCCTCCTGTCCGCTCTGCAGCTGCTCTTTCAACTGACGGACCTGGTCCTCCTGTCGGCGAGCCTATTCCTCCTGTCGGCGAGCCTGTTCCTCCTGTCGGCGAGCCTGTTCCTGCAGCGTCACCATCAGAGCACCTAAATCAGGTGTTGCAGATGTAGGAGCTACTGACGGGCCTACAGCCGGCGGCTGGCCCTCCGACGTCTGCGGCGTTGCACCACCAAATCTTCTTTGGTCCGTCTCCTGCTGGCGTTGACTTCGGGTACGGACACCCTCCGTTTCCTCCTTAGGTAAAATCGGCATGATTTTATCCCACTTCTGACACCAATTGTTACGAGCTTGAGGTTCGTGACAATAAAAATTGCCGATAGGATTATCTAAATTAACACTTTAATTTTCTTTACACAAATTAAAACTTAAAACACCAATAATTCACTTTATTCCGCTCCAAAGGTTCGCTTGTCTCGCCAAATTCAATACTTCCCCGATCGCACCTTGCAGCGCCTATAAATACACATTAGTACCGAATCATCCAGAACATTCAAGTAAATACGCGCACCAATCGACAAAGCGCCGAAAGTTCGAGAGTCAGCTTCCAGAAGCTTAGTTCTTCGTTTCGACAACAGATGGCGCTGTCAGTTCAAAGATTAGTGATGTTATTTTCTGGAAAGCTCCCCTCGCTCTCATCTCTGACACTGATGAATGAAAATGGTGGTCATTTTGAAAATGTAATAAATTAAATCATTTTTCTACGATTTTTTTTTTGTTTTATTCCATAATTTTGTCAATTAAATCATTATTAAATCACTTTTGAATTTTGTGCTCAGATTACCTACCTTATTTTTAGTGATTATCTTAACAACGACAGGAGATAGAACCCATGTTACTTTGGAGAACTTGTAGAGTAAATCATGCAGTTTAATAAAACATGCTGAAAAAGTTACCTCAATGTGCTAGTTTTGAAGTTACAGATCAAAAATTAAAAAGAAAAGTATTTTTTAACAAAAAAAATTATCTTATTATTTTTTTTACAAATTTCCTGCTTGATATCGTAGGTTTTTTTTATTTTTTATTGCTAGTTAATCGTTCTAACTTTCAAATAAAACTACTTTGAAAAAAATACACCGTTTACTTAAAGAGAAAATAATTTTAATCAGAAGGATGGAAATTTTACCAAAAAAAATTAAAATTCTTTTATTTTTTAAATAGTTTACAAAAAAAAATTTATTCGATTTTTTCCCATAATTTTTTATCTAGTATCCGCACATTTCGTTTGATCAAGTGTAAAATTAACACATTGTATACTTATCGTTACATGGTACTTGTCCATATGATGTAGAAAGATGTAAATACTTTCTTAAATCTCTCAAGATGCAGGACGGCAGAGCGTTCATGCTGCTAGCCCGGAGAGAGTGGGGTGGATCTTTATTGATAATTTTCCGTTTCTGCTTAGGAATCCTTTTGGTAGAGACCACCATCTTACCTATTACTGCCGCCAAATAATAGTGCTTGCACTGCTGTATTCCGGTCTCAGGGGTAAAGGGAGCCAGTACAATTACAGGCTGGCCTTCAGTCTTCAGAGCGACAACACATCATTCGCCTTTTTTGTTTGCATGTTGTCTGCAGGTGTCCATAAACTGCAGTAGTCACTCACCATAAGGACTGTTAGCTCGTTTCTCAGCTTAGTCCAAAAAAACATGAGACCGACCATGGCTACGCCTCTACTACGAGAGGCATTGGTATACTATGACCTGCTTTTTATAAAATATGCTTTCCCTTTAAATTCGTGCCGACAGTAAAGGAAGCCCATGATTTTAGAAGGACACGCCTTGATTTTCTTCTCCAAGTCATAGACTGTAATTTTGATTCAGGATATTTACGATATGAAGCCACGTTTAGTCCGTTGTTATAAATCGAACCAAAAAACGATCAGGATCACTCTTTTTTTTTTTTGAAATGTTGCAATATATGAAAAAACCTCGGTAATTATGCAGTCTGGTTTGTTTCTGCGCATTGGTAAGCATTCCGAGTACCCAACTTTTGCTGCCTTTGATGCTCTTTCATCCCAAATGGCTCATGTAAAATTTACATTGTACACCACAAGTCAGAACCCATTGTGACCGACGACCTGCTAAAACATTTTTGTTGAATATTTAAACTATTTCTTGTGGTCACTTCTATCGTAAGAGCGAGGCTCATTTATTCTATGTGTTTCTCCACGTTTAATTTTGGGCGCACTAACCTACAACAGTAGAATACAACGTAGCATTTACCACTAAATATTTCCGAATTTTTCAAACACAGATACTTAGTAATGGTCGCCCACGAATCATGAAATTAAATACCATCCACTGCGCATGTACAATCAAGCAGAAAAATGAAAATTTTATTATGGCATTTTAATATGTAAAAAGTCAAAGGTCGACATTATAACTACACATCAGTCTCCACGAAAACGAAACGATATTTTTATATATCATCGTTAGGTTTTAATTGCTTCTAAATAATATTATGTATTTTATGTACACTTAGTTAAAGAAATAAAATATTTTTTTTTGTATTTTTATATTTGGAATTGCTGTTTATTATGCAATAGCCTTCGATTATAGGGATAATCTTAAATGCAATAATTTGCAAAAAAAATCATCTTGCAGTAAATAACAAAAAATTTACAACTTTATACAATATACTACGAACTACGCAATTTTAAATAGTCCAAAAATAATTAACAAAATCGTAAATATTTGCACACTATCTGCAAATATTACACATACAACAATATTTTTAAAAGTACACAAATAATCGAAAAATTAAAAAAATTTAAAACAGGTAGTCTTTTCACTTTCGATATCGATCGAGTACTCGAGACGACACAAGAAGGTGCGCGGGCGACGGGACGCAGCGAGACTACGCGGGAGTAGACGCGCTACTCCCGTTGCTATATGGTTATGGTTTCGCTTCCCCGTACCTCACACCGCACCGTGCTGACACCTATTTATCGCTTCTGCGCAGTTTCATTACTCGTAGCGAGAGCTATAACACGATGTAGTTGTATTTTTTTTATTTTCGCCAACACGCTACAGCAAACCGCAACCCGGTGACTTCTATATTTTAAAAATATAAGATATTCATCCTTCAGGTTTCAACATATATTCTTTAACTTATCGTATTTAAATTTTCAGTACTGTAATAACACTTTTCTAACATTCCTGGTATGCTTTTTACTCAACATTCTCATAGTTTGTCTGTAAAGTATGCAGTGTTCATACAATGGCACATTTAAAAAAAATGTACTGTTTTTCAGCTGGATGAATTAAAAGGTGAATGTGATAGATTACTAATGGTAAACCAACAAGAAACTTCCCGGGCCGCCCAGCTGGCTGACGAGTTGGAGGCAGAGAAGAGGCAGAGTCAGGCTCTACGCGAGCTTGTAGTGGAACTTAGGCAGCATAATCATCGGAATGGACTGGACTCCAGTATGCTTGAATGTGATGACCCTGACACTAGCGTGTCCTCTTTACAACGTAGTTTCTGTAAGAAATATTGTTTTTTTTTATTATTTAGTTAATTTTTAGTGTGTGTTAGCACAAAGTTCTTGACTAGTAGGTATGTTTACTTGAGACAAATGGTCTGACTAGGTCCAACTTTAACGGGAGGTCAATCTAGGGATTCAGATCGGCTGGTCAGCGTTCGGGAGATTACACATCTTCTCATCAGGTATACCTCAAATTTTAAAAACGAGATTGTATAACCAGTGCATGTTCCAGTGATGACGTATGGATTGGAAACGTGGTTCTTCATTGCTGGCCGTATGAGGAAGTTCAAAGTCGCTCCACGAGCTATGGAGAGAGCTTTGCTCGGGGTTTCTATGTGTGATTAACTTAGAAATGAGGATACCAGAGTAACTGACATAGCTCAACGGATTAGTAAGCTGAAGTGGCAATGGGACGGCCATATAGCTGATGAACCGACAACCGATGGGGAAGAAAGGTTCTCGAGTGGCAGCCTCGTACCGGTAAGCGAAGTGTGGGGCTGCCCTCCACTAGGTGGAGTGACGACCTGGTAAGACATGCAGGAAGTTGATGGATGCAGGTGGCTCAGGATCGTGCTTTGTGGCAATCCTTGGGACTGTAATGATGATGATAGTGTGTGTATTCTTGCAATAGCGTAATTAATATCTACTAAGTCATAGTTATACAAACAGAATCCTGCTGATAAAAAACTATTTTGGGACAATACGATGTTTGAAGCTTGGATTGATATTTAATAAAAATTAATCAAGTTTAGACATGTCAGTGATAAACCGTGCATTGGCGGCTTAAGAGTATCCACTACCCACGTCACCTGGATGTCGTAAGAGGCGCCGGAGGGAAATTAAAACGGAACATGGGCAGTAGCATATTCCTGATAACAACTCAAAATAATAAAAAAACTGCGGTTGCCAATCCTCCTGCCAATCGTGGCAACTATAGCAAAATCTTTCCTGTCTGTCTATGGGAGAATCCTATGTTCAGCAGTGGACTTTTATGTTGGGCTTCTTGCTGGTTCTTCCCAGGACACAGGATTTTTCCGAATCAGTTCTAGTACTGATGACAATAATAAACTAGAATAGTATGGAACCATTTTTATTCAATATAGATTATATGTAATACTTATTGAAAGTCATATTTTACCTATAAACACTTTAATATAATCCTTTCAAACGTAATTATAACGTGGCAGGAGTCACACTGCTGCCTTTTATGGCTGCCGTACAAATGGAGCCGGGGAACGACCGAGCTCGCACAGAATAATACCAGCTTAACATTATAATGCTGCTGAATTTCATGTGGTGAGTCATGAGAACTGGAGACCATTTTACTAGTAACTCGGCATTCCATTTTCCGGTCTTTAGGGGGGACAATACATCTCTATTTTCTCTAGGATTTTAGGTGTTTAAAATATTACTTTGGACTAAATTCTTGTTATTTAATTTTCAGCTGTCTGTAGTGAAGTGTGTGCAAATGTAGTAGAAGTTCAGTTAGGCGAAGAACGAGCAAAAAGTTTAGCTTTAAAACAGCAAGTTCAAATGTTACAGGTAAATCTATTTTTTAATGTGTGTGTTTAAATTAGTACAAATAATATCTGTAATGTAAGTCATTATAAATATCTCATTATGTTTGTAGGACCAAATTAATGAACAACTGCAAACTATCGAAAATTTTAAAGCAACTATTGCTGATAAAAATGATAATATATTCAATCTCAAACTTCGTATCAATGAACAAATTGAAGAAAAAAATAATTTGAAGCGTTACTTCGACTGTGAAGTTACTAAACTAAATAATTCAGTAAATGAATTGGAACAAAAAATCAAAGACGACAGTGAACACTCTAGGCGGATTATAGACAAAAAGATGCAAGAAATTCAAGCTATACAAGAAGAAAAATTGTCCCTTCTTCAAAGCTTGTCAGATGAAACTACGAAATTAGAAAATATAATTAAAGACTTAAAGATCGAAATTGATGTAGAAAGGACATCAAAAATTAAAATGAGAGATGATTATGAAAATCACATAATGAAGTTAAAAGAAAAAGTCTTAAATAGAAACAACGAGTTGGTAGAATTACAAAACAATGTCTTACAGAAGAGCGAAATGATTGAACAGCTTAGCTTAGAATTAAGAAAAGAAAGAGAAATAAAAGATGAAACAGTCAATAAACACAATAATGACTTGGCATTTTTAAATGCACAGAAAATTAGTGTTGAAAATGACCTACAAAATAAATGTACAGAAGTAACAGAATTGTTAAAACAAATACGTCAACGAGATACTTGCATTGAAGACATGGCTAAAGACCTAAAATATGCTAAAGAGTCAGCTTCCAAGTTAATTGAAGACTGTAAAATTTTGGAAGAAATTAAGCAGACCTTACTTAATGATATACAAAATCGTGAGAGCAGTGCTCAGAAAATGCGTAAAGAATTTGAAAATCTTACAAATAAGCACTGTGAAGAGAAAGATAAGCTTCAGTACAAATTTGACGAAATGTGTGCTATGGTTAATTCACTACAGACACAATTACAAGATGAAATTGATTTCAAAATTAGAATACAACATGAGCTTGAAAATGCGCAGGGTGTGGTCACAAAGCTTTCAAATACTAACACAAAACTGCATTCGGAACTGACAGAAATGACTTCTAAATTGCAAGAAAATCATGGAATTCTCAAGGAAAAGGAATTATTTTTGAATGAAGAGAAAGAAAAATACATCAGGCTCAAACAAGAGTATGATCATGTTAAAGTTGAATTGGATAAACTATCTAATGATGTTGCCTTAAAAGATAAAACAATTCAGGAATGTGAAGATAAATTGCAAAAACTTAATCAATCATTACAGGAAGAAGTTTCTAATAAAGAAAAAATAATTGATTCATTGAAAGAAGATTTAAAACATGTCATTACACAAAAGGAAACTCTTCAAGATTCTATTAAAACATTGAGCTTTGAGAACAACAAATTGGTTAAAAGTTTCAATGAAAAATGTAGTTATGTATCACTATTGGAATCGGAACGCGAAACTTTATCACAAAAAATGGAAGAAAAAGGAGCAAGTAAGTATATTGCTGTTATTAAATGGTAACATTTAAATAAAAAATTTAAAACTTAATATAATCATTAATCATATTCCTACCCTCATTGTTTATATGTTGTGTTATTTTACGTTTCTCATTATCATTGTTATCATACCACATCTACTACAGGGCCTTATCTTCAGAAAAGGGTTTACCTTAGCTTCAGAAAAGGGTTAGGCTGACAAAATCAATCCATCAAGTTCAAAAGTGTAGTTTAGCTCTTAATATGGTTTTCAATTTATGTATTTAATGTAATTCTTAAATGTATATTTCTTAGACATATTTTTGGATTTTTTTTCTTTAACAAAATGTAAATTAAGTTTTAAAGCTCATGTTTACTAAGGATGTTATCGACAAACACTTGAATTATATCCATTTATTTCAGCTATTCATATGTTGGAACAAAAGCTCAATGATAAAATGTTAGCTTTCGTGCAAATTGAAGATAATTTTAGGATTGAAATATCGAAACTTGTTACAAAAGTAAGTGAAACTGAAAAAATGCTAAAAGAAGTTAGAACACAGTCAGATAGCATAATTGAAAACAATGAATCACGGATACAAAAACTTAATGGTGATATCTTTAAGTTACAAGGCCAAATTGAGGCTAGTGTAAAAGAAAAAACTAAACTTGAAAGCGAGAAGGAAAGATTAGAGCAGAAATTAGAAGAAATAACTTTATACAACAGTAACATCGTAAGGGAATGTCAAGACAATTGTAAAACTATGGAAAAACACCTTGAAAATCTAAAGCATGAAATAGTTGTCAAAGATAAAGAAATAAATGATTTAACTAGAAAAAACATTTTATTATCTTCTTCTATTACGGAAAAAGAAAAAGGTAAAATTTATTCTATGGCAAATTAACATTTTTGTTTCTTACATTTATATTAGTAAATTACCTACACTTTTTATGTTTGTTCATTGAGTTTGCGACTGATCCTGCTTACTAATTAGGGCCTTTAATTACATAGTATTTTGAACCACATGATATTTTACAGAAATAATAAGTTTGATTATGCTAATACGTAACATTAAATAAACTTTTTTTTAATGAGGATAGTTACGAATCTCATAAATATTTTATATTGTATTTAATGATTCCTGAGCGACGTAAATTATCAAATCTCTTTTAAAGATGTCTTTTAATAATTTAAGAGATACATAGATGGATGCATGCAGTAGATAAATGCTTATTTTAGGTAATGTAGATTTTTCCATAAACAAATTTTAGACATTAAATAAGACATTTAGTTAATTTTTATGTTTAAGTTCTATATTCTAATATCCCGGGTTTGAATCCCAGGTTGGGCCATAAATAAATAAGTTATTGAGTTTTTCCATTAATAAATTCTCAGCAGCTGCTTGGATTCAGGAAGTTGGCGGCGTCTCAGCCCAACTTAAAGCCGTTGGTCCTACGCCTGGTCTTTCTCTAGATTTACCGTTACATCGGGCCGTGAGAGTAAGGGAATAGAGAGTGCACCTGTGCTTACGCATACACTTGGGCAGTATAATCCTGTCCTGCGCCGATGGCTAGCTGCAGTCTGAGGGCATTATTAATTATTATTACTTAATTATTATATTCTAATAATGTACCTTTAAAAACATACATATATATTTTGTGAAACTGCAATTTGATATAAGTTTGATTTAACTTCAGAACTATCCATCTTACAAGATTCAAATCAAGAGTGGCAAACAAAAAAGGATATTATGGATGAATATTTAAAGAATGAAAAAGATAGACTGCACACGATGCTGGAAGAACAAATAAATAAAAACAAAGAAATCGAAGAAGAGTTAAAAGTTAAAGCACAAACAATATATAGACTAGAAGAAAAACTTAAGGCTTTTGAAAGTAATATCGGAACATTAGAAAAAGAAAAAGAAAATTATTTAACTATTTTGGCTAAGCTAGAAAAACAACAAAATGAAATTGAAAATGAGAAGACATGTTTGGAAAGAGAAAGAGAAAGATTAATCATAGAAAGAAATGAAGTACAATCAAAGTTAGTAACACTAAAGAAGGAATTTGGTGATGTAGAAAGTGAAATGATTAAATTGAAAGAAGAAAAATTAGAATTATTACATGTAATTGAAAAAAATAAGTCTGGTATGTAAAGTTTGCTAATACTTATATCTTATAAATAACTCATTTTGGTTTTAAAATAAGAAGAATTAATAGTTGCAATTATATCTTGAGTAATTTTGGTACAAGATTTGAGATTTTGTTAACTATACCATTTTGCTTTAAATAATTTGTTTAATAACAAAAAAAAAATTTCGGCTTGATGTTTTTCCTTTAGTTTTCTTGATATAATCTTGTGATCTTTTTCGTTGTGAACTTTACCATAGTCGTCACATAAAAGTTCTTTGTCATCCATTTTTAAGAATAATTGATTCATTGCTAAATTACCGAATTGATGGAGAATATTTTTTATGTTATTGTACTTGATTGTATTTATATAATATTGGATGTCTACAATTTCCTGTCGTATACTGTTAGTAAGTACTGATAATAATTTACTACTATTTATTATAAATATTCAACGTCAATTTTTTTGTTACAGTAATATCTGAAATGGAGAAGAATATTCAAAGTGGGTTAAATGATAAAGAAGAACTTTGTCATGCATTAACAGTTGAGAAATCTAAACTCAGCACTGAATGTACTTTATTGCAAGAACAACAAGTGAAAGATGCAGAAAAAATAGAAAAACTATCTAAAGAATTAAATGAATATCAAAAAGAGTTGAATACATACAGTAATAAGATCCAATACTTAGAAAAGGCAAAAACCGAACAAGACAGTGTTATTACAACTATGGAACAACAAAAGCATTGTCTTGAAATTGAAAAAGAGCATTTAATGAATGAGAAAATAAATTATTTGAACGAAATTACTAAACTGGAAGAAGAAATGGATGTGTTGAAAAATACCGAAATACCTAAGCTGAGAGAAGAGAACCTATGTTTGAGTAACATAATTGAAGAAAATAAAATAGGTATTTTATTCGTTATCTATTCGTACAATAAAACAGTAAAAATGAGTAGTGAATTGAATATTTTGTAAAATTAATGTTGAGGCTACACAGTGATACAGGGTTATTTTGCAATAATGCTCAAATTTACCGAGAAGGTTTAGAGTAAGTAGTATAGGTGAAGGGTGAAGAAAAATTCATTAAAACTTTAAACATTCTGTCCTTTTTATCTTTTACATTCAAAATGCGTGATAATGCGTTATTTTAACTAATTACATAACATAACATAAACACTCACGCCTGTCGCCCAGGGGGGTAGGCAGAAACTACAGACTTCCATTTGGCACGATCCTGACACACCTCTCTTGCCTCCTTCACATCCATACACCTACGCATACATGCTCGTCGGTTAAGGGTACTCCTAATTTGGCCCGTTTTCAATAAATCGATAATTTGGTCGATAAATTTTCGCCTAGGACGTCCCTTCCCGACTCTGCCATTCACTTCTGCATCATACATTTTCTTTGTCACTCTTTCCTCATTCATTCTTTCCACATGACCAAACCACCGAAGCATTCCTTTCTTAATCCTGGTCACAACATCATCTTGCAAACCACACTCTTCTCTTATTACAAATTTCTCACCCTGTCATTCAGATTCAGCCCTAACATACTCCTTAACGACCGCATTTCTACTGCGTTTATTCTACTCTCGTGCTTCTTCTGCCACACCCAACTTTCACTACCATACGTTAAAGTAGGACCAACACAGCATTGTGAATTGCCTATACGTGCCTTTTTCGACACATTTTGACACTTCACAATAGAGTGCAAGGGCCCCATTTACTCTATTTCCCGCATTCACTCGTCGTTCTATATCCTTATCATATCTCCCATCCCTGCTAAATACGCAGCCCAAATATACAAACTCATCTACTTGCTCGATCAACTCCCCTTCTATTCTTATTTCACAAATCGTTTTACTTTCTTCTCTTTCAAAAACATAACCTTCGTCTTACTTGCGTTCACTTTCATACCCCTTTCTTCATAACCCCCTTCTAAACTCGGCCGCCGAAGACGCAAGAATAACTTGATCATCGGCGTACAAAAGGCATTTGACGGTTAACTCACCCATTCTTAATCTGCATTCTTCAACTTACAAATTTTGCAAACAACTGTCCATAAATAGGTTGAACAGCCACGGGGAAGCCACACAGCCCTGTCTGATACCTTTATGGATGTCAAACCAGTCCGAGTAGACCCCGTTGATCCTAACACAAGCACTAGAGTCCCTATAAAGAGACTCAAATGCCTGTATCAAGCCAGCGCTCAACCCAAATGAGTTCAGTGTTTGCCATAGCAAATCCCTATCCACTCTGTCATAGGCCTTTTCCAAGTCCATGAACACACAAAAAACCTTTTGGTTTTTGGCCAGAAACTTCTCCGCGATCATGCGCATGGAAAAGACTTGATCTTTACATCCCATTCCCTTTCTAAATCCCGCTTGCACATCCCAAATTTTTCCATCAGTTTCTTTCATGACCCTTTCAATCAGTACCTTAGCATACAGTTTTCCCACAATGCTAAGAAGGCTGATGCCACGGTAGTTTTTACAGTCCTGCTGCGACCCTCTTCCTTTATATACTGGGACTATCACGGCTTTGCACCAGTCTACCGGTACCCGCTTCAGTTCCCAGCATAAATTAAACAAGGTGTGCAGCAGGCCTGCCACCACTTCCTCTCCAGCCCTTAGCATTTCGAGTGAAACTCTATCATATCCGGCAGCCTTACCTGCTTTCATGCTTTTCATTGCTTTCATTATTTCATCTATACTTATCTTCCTATCTCTTTCCTCTTCTTTCGGAGTTTCTACTTCACTTAGTACACACGTTGTCTCCTCACTCATAAACACGCTTTCAAAATATTCCTTCCATCTCTTTAAACTCAAAACTTCATCATGCAGAATATAGCCATTCTCGTCTCTTATAGCATTCATCATAGGCTGTTTTGATGTCCCCTGGCAGTTCTTACAAGTTTCCAGAACATTTTAATATTTGCCTGGAAGTTATCCGATATTCTTCTATCATTCTTATCCATTCTTTCTTGCTTTTTTCTTTCAACTACTTCTTTTACTCTCTTATTAAGATGTCTAAAGACTGCCTTTTTTCTTTCAATATCACCATTCGTACCGCTAGAATTACCAGCCTTTGTTGCTAGTAAATCTAGCCATGATCTCTTCTTTGCTTCAACTTCCATACGTATCTCATCATCCCACCATAACGTTCATTCTTCCTCTTACTAACACCACATACTTCGGTAGCTGCATCCACTAAACCTTTCTTCATTCATTTTAACTGATTGTAATTCATAAATATCTAACGCCTACTATTTGATTTTCAAAAAACGAAAAAAGACCTTGACTGTACACACACAGTACAGTAGTAAACCTATTTTTTCAAAGTAGTAGTATTTCAAAGGATACTTACAAGAGCATTCGAGTCATGGCAGTTATGACTAGTATTTATACAATATCTTATACTATTATGCAGTGATATATATATCTGTTAAATATTTTTGTTGTCATTATTTTTTCTTCCCTTACAGCTATAGATGTTCTAGAAAAGCGCTTAGAACACGAATTGGGACAAAATGATAAACTGCGCCAAAATTATGATTCCGATAAAATAAACGTTTTGAGTAAATGCGATTCTTTACAAAAAAATATTGATAAAATGGAACAGGAACTTAAAAATCGAAATATCCAATTGAAAGAGCTCAAAGGCGAATTAGAAGTATATATTTCTAAGGCTAAAACATTCGAAGAAGAGCTGAAACGGAGCAAAAGGGAGTTTATTAAGATTAATGAAGAAAGGGATATAAAGTTGCAAGATTTAACAAAAGATTTGGAAAGTGAAAGGACAATAACATTACAATACAAGAAAGAAATTGAATCCAAAGACGATATTATTTCTGATTTGAAACAACAGTTGGTTGAAATTGAGACAGCAAAGAAAGAATTAGAAACTTTGAGAATAGAAAAGGAAGAGTTTACTGAAACTTTAAGAAGAAAAGAGGAAGGTAAAAATTTGTCTTTAGTTTGGAAAATAGAAACTTTTTCTTGTATATTTACTTATTGACAGTTACTATTATGTTTAATTTGTCTCTGGTTGGGAAAATACAGTGGACATTTGATAAGCTATACTGATGATGACGGTGTTTTAATTTCAATTAACCGCATATAATGTCTACACATTTATTTTAAGGATAAAGATACATTCATTGCATAACTGTGTACAATCTTAGTATAAAAACATATAGTTTTATGCTCAACAGTTTACCCATGTTGGATACGCAACAATTAAGAAAATAAATTATAATTTACTACTTACTAACATTGTTATAATTTTATTAAAAAACTCATTAAGATTGTAAAAATTAAATAAATTAATAAAATAAAATAATTTATAAATTTTTATATATTTATTACATTCGATAAAAATTGAAGAAATGAAAAGGTGATTAACACACATAGACGTATTGATAGTTAACGAAGTTCAACTTTAAAATAATGTTTATAAATTCAATGTATAGTAGTCACGTAAATATCAGAAATCATGACTTCTACTGCTGAGTTCTAGGTTGTATTACTTTTGTGCAAAAGCACAAATTGTTGGTTTTCGGGGTTGGTTGCTTATTACTGCATCCCAGCTTATTATATATTTTATAGCACAATGATAACATTGAGCATGGGTAGGATGGAACGAAAGAGTACCTTTTTGTGTGTGACAGGACAATATTATCCCTTTTTTTTCGGGGACGCGTTCGCACGCATCGGCTGCCCCAGCCCCTTCTCGGAAATCTTCCCCTCCCCCTTCTCAGTAAGGCGTACCAGGAACACAAGCTTGTCCGGCCCTTCGCTCCACCTGCGCAACGTGCCTTCCTGAGTCCGGCTCGCGGCAGCACCAGGAAGCATCAGCTTTCTTGACCCTAGCGGCAGATCTGGTCTGTAGTTCCGCCACCAATCAACATTCGGCCGTGGGGGAGAGCGGTGCCTCGCACACCGACACCCCACCTCCCGCGGCCCCTCCACCTCTGCATCAACGCTGCAGCTCCGTCAGAGTCGCGAAGGATAGGGCGACATGCGCATTGCCATACTAACACTCCTCTTCCTCTGCGACATCATCTCGGCTATAGAGGGAGTATAGGGGATAACCCTCTCGCCAACACATCCTAAATGAGCTCAAAGTCAAGCACACTGGGTATTGCACCAAGCACCTCGAGCCAGCCTTGACCTCTAACTTGCCATGTGCGTTCTTCTTATTTCACCGTGGGTGATCAAGCCACGGCTACTAAGCCCCATCGCAAAGACAAGTCGGGATTTCGTCCGGGGACGACGACAGTAATATCCTATACAGTTAAAAGCACCCCATTGGCTGGATGTTGTCGCCGTGCTTTAAAACGATTTGAATTACTTTACTTTTGTACTGTTGTTAAATTAAATGATTGAAATTTTCCAGAATGTACTTTATTGCAAAGTGAAAATGATGAATGGAAAATCAAAAAAGATATGTTAGAAGTAGAATTTAAAAGTGAAAAGAATGCTCTAGAACATGCACTTAAACTTCAAATGGAAAATAATCAAAAACTAGAAAGTAATTTACAGCTAAAAGAAGAATATTTAAAGGAAATTGAAGAGAAATTGAAACTCCATGATATTACTATAAATGAATTACAAAGTTGTAATAGTGTTCAAGATAAACTTGTTTTAGATTTGGAGCAGGAAACGATTAAATTAAAGGACGAAAACGAGGCACTTGAAAGTGAAAAATGTATATTGGTTCAAAAGAAAAATGAATACATGACAAAATTAAATAAATTGCAGACCGAGTTTGACATACTCAAAAACGAAGAACTGACTAAATTAAAGGAAGAAAACTTGCAATTGACTAGTATTGTAGAAAACAACAATACTGGTAAGTTTTACATATTAATTTGTTTTATTCGTGTTGACATTGATTTTGTTATTATTAATTTATTGACTAAGTTATTGATCAACGATGTTGATAAGCTTTCATTATTTTCAGTGATATCTACTTTGGAAAGGCTTATAAAGAAGGAATTAGAACAGAACGAAGTTTTACGTAAGGACTTTAGTTTGGAAAAGTTGGAACTTGTTCAAAAATGTAAATTTTTGCAAGAAGATCATACAAAAGTAGAACAAGAACTTGAAAAGAGAAATACTGAAATTAATGCACTAAAAGAAGAAATAAGAGTAGTGACATTAGAAGCTAAGTGCCGTGAAGAAAATTTAAGATATAATAATGAACAATTGACAAAAATAATAGAAGAAAAAGATGCAACTATACTTCAAATGAATGAAGTATTATTAAAAGAAAAAATATTTAGAGAAGAATATCAAAAACAAATAGAATTAAAAGAAAACAACATTTACGAATTGCAACAGAAATTGAAGGGACTTGAAGATGAGGTGGATGTTTTAAGAACTGAAAATAAACAGTTGTTTAAACATGTCAAACAAATCGAATCAAGTGAGTAGCAAATATATTTAATGAATTAATGCTGAACCAAATTTAATTTTAAGTGCTGTATTTCAATAATCTCATTTGTTATAATGTATATATTTTGTCTAGTTTATATCCTTCTAGATATGCTTAAATTTTGAAATAAATTCAAGTAATATATTAAGTATATAATTTTTAGATGCTGCTTCTAGCCAGGAAAAATCTCAAAATCAACAGTGTTGTAGCCAAGCCGAGAAATATCAATGTGATCTTCACTCTAAGGTAGATACCACATCTTCCACAAATCACACACATTCATCCGTGGAGAGTAACAAAACCATATCGGATTTAGAGAAAATATTGAATGATAAAAATAGAACAATAACTACTCTGCAAACTGATATTACGTTTTTGAAGTCATTGTTGGCAGAATCAGAAAATAAAGTCTTAGATGTGTCTAAAGAGTTGGAAATAAGCAAAGAGAACTGTCAACAACTGTCAAATCAACTCAAGAAAATCGTCTATCAAAAGAACGAAGAAATAAGTGAACTCAAAAAGCAGGTATCCAAAATGAGCGCTACAGAAAATCGCGCCAGCCAAATAATTAGAGTGTCTGCTAAGTATCAGGAAATAATACTAAAGCGAATCGCTGAAATTAAATGCAATACTGTTTTAAAAGAGTTGACGAACTTCGGTAACACGGCTAACTGTGACAATGATTTGAAACGCAGTTTAAATGCGGGTACTATCACAATGGAGGACTTGGAGAACTTCCTGGAGACAACCGATAGGCATTTAAGGCGATGCTCGGAGAAGCGAATCGCTTTGCAGAAGGAAAGGGACAGATTGGTCGAGGTGAATAGAATAAACGAATCAGAAATAATCAACATAAAGAAGTTTTTAACTGAGTTATCTGTCAGTGTAAAAACTTTCAACTCCGTTAAAGATGTCTACACACAAAAGTTGAGCAGGGTCGTGTCCATACAAAGGACTGTGAGGCGAGAGGTACTGAGCATGGAGGGTCGTTTGACCGATTCGGCAATGTGTAAACTTGAGAGAGGTTATGCGGCGGTCTTGCAGGATCTTGTCGAATGCACTATGAATCTTGAAAGGTGGGTGGAGAGGAGTATAGGCAGAGCGATATCTGCCGAGAAAATTAAACAAGCGTTCACGAGTGAAAATGAGCGCGCTTCGCTCGCCCCCTCCACTTTCCAGAACGCGAGTCTGGAAGTACAAATGGACGAGTTGGAAAAATCCTTCCATAAGCTTTTAGAAGAAGTTGCGCGCGCACAGAGAGGGGATGGAGCTAAGGACACGCAATCTCTGACCGTGCAGGAACTCCGCGCCGAATACGAGGACAAACTCACCAGGATGAAAGCTAAAATGGTCAGTATTCTACCCGTACTGTTCTTGATATTTATCTATCAGGTGGTGTGGTGGTTCTATCTGCAAATGGATTACTGAATGGTGTGGCTTTTGAACAATGACAGTTATGACTTGTAAAGTCAATTATTTATTCAATAAATTATGTTTTAATGGATACTTTTTGTTTTATTTCACTTTCTATTGGTTACACATTTTCCAGTTAAGCTTTTTTGGGTGTTCATTAAAACATAGCTGTGTGGTAGTGTAGTTGCGAATCGTATGCTAATATAGTTTACAAATGTTTTGAGACGTCGATCCTTTCGCAAAAGGTAATAAGCACTTTTGAATAATGCATGCGCATGATTTTTTTTTTTTTGTATTCAAGCTGCTCTTAATTTTCTAATATACAATTTTTGGCAGTATAGTTAATTTAATTTATTCTATTTACAGAAAGAGTTATACTACGAGCAGATAGATATTTTCAAAGCGAAACAGAGGGAGGAGATAATTATGCTCGAACAGGAGTTGCAAAAGACTCGCGATAAATTAGAGGAGTCAAGTAAAGCTTATGAGGAACATATCCGGTCATTATCGATTGAGTTATGGAAGTTAGGAGAGAAGTTTTTAAACAAGAAAGACGAAGCAGAATGGCTGAGACGTAAGCAGCGCTCCGAGTCACTCATGTCTCTACAGCATGTGCACTCGGTATGACTCATAGATTTGGAATTTTGGCTTTATTTTTTTTCAATCTTATGTTTAACCCCTCAATCCCCTTAAAATTCCCATGCGGTCGCATGCGTCCGTCAAATCCCGAGCGGTCGCATTCGACCGCACCCACCCACAGCACTTTAAACCTTTAAAACTTATGTTTAGAGATTACTTTTCTATGAAGAAGTTTGGCATTATAAAATCTATACAAAATTCTCTATATAAAAGTCCGGTTTTACTTCATTATAAAAAGACTTCTATTTTGATAACAAAACCAAAACATACCAAGCGAATGTCGGCAGCGTGAAAATCTTTACGAGACTATTACGAGAAATTATTTACGAAAAGAGATAAATTATATTCACACAAAAACTTTCATTACAATTTTATAATAAAACTATACTAAAACAATAATTAAACACTAGATAAATCCAAAAATCAACACAATAACATTCACGTTGAAATGGCGTACGAAATGAACGTAGATTATGAATAAATATCCACAGTATAACTGTTTTTTATTGCACTGGAGTATAGAAATTTTCATATTAATTCTATAATGCCAAACTTCTTCATAGAAAAATAGTCTTTAAATATAAGGTTTAATGGTTTAAACGATCCGGCCGCTTGAATTTTGACGGAATAGCGCCGCGGTCGAATTTGACCGCTTAGAGATTGAAGGGTTAAAATATGGACTGAATAGTGTAAAAATAGGTACTGGATCTCCACATCGTAAGAAGCGACACTGGGAAACAGACTCGAACGAATAAGCCAGCAGGAGATAAGCAGCATCATTTTCTTAATAGCAGATATAAAATAAAAAACTGTAGTTGCCAACTTGGTTGCCAAGCGTGGCAACTATGGCAAATGTGGTGGATATTACGAGGCAATCTATGAGGAGGCCTATGTTCAGACAGTAGACATTTAATCGCCTTTGACGATGATAATAATAACGATTTAAAATAAACTCCGAGGGCTTAGAGCTTCTTCGTAATTCGAGTTTATAATATTTTGTTTATCAACTGTATAGTGATTTGTTGATTGTCAGACCGGTCTCGTTGCTCAGCCTGAAGTGTCGTCAAGGGCATCCGATACTCATTCCTTGCGGTCTCTTCCAGTGAATATAAACAAAAAACGCGGTAAGTGGCTTTTTAGTATTCCATAATCCTTTGGAAATAATCTACTAATATTGACGAGTTTTTTTGATAATTTTTACAATGGTGGGATTTATTACATTATTAATAGGATATCAAAATAAAGGTTACATTATCATTCAAAGTTATTGTTTATGGCGTAAATAATTTATTAAGTGTAATGAGGAACTCATTGGCGATATATAAGAATCCAGTCCCGTGTTTTAATTGTAATAGGCTACTATGGAAAAAGAAAGTTAGTACAGCTTCCGTTAGATTGCTGTATAACTGTTTCAAATATATCAAATGTAAAATAACCAGACCGGAGAAAGGAAATAATTCATCTGCAATCTCAAGTATCGCAATTGTTGCAAATCCTTCCTTCTAGCTAAAAACCTACAGGCTAATAAAGAAGATAGAAGAAGAAATATAGAGTTGTGGTCTCTGTGGAGTTACTTTTAAAACTTTGTGTTCCAAAAAACCTTGTAGCCAATAAAGTTGTTTGTTATTTAAGATTTTTTGAAAAGAATTTAGTAATATGTTTACTTCTAAAACTTTTTATCAAATCCATGTTTTATGATTTTCTTTTTATCACTTAGAAAATATTTTTTGAATTTATTAGTAATAAAAAATAATTAAGTCATTCTAGTCTATAAATATAGATTTTCAGTCGTTCAGAAGTTGCATAGTCAGTAACAGGCACAAACATTTAAAAGATTACATTAATAAGATGTATTTCACACGTTGTAGCTATTTTATGGTTGTAGGACGAATGGGTAGGGCTCGACCGGTGAAGGAACGCGCTCTTACAGAATACCAGCGTAAAATAGCAGCTTTAAGTTGCTGTGTTTGTTATGGCGAACGTAGAGAATCTGTTAGAAATGTGGCATTCAATCTCTTACCTCATGTACTAGAACGCATCTGCATTTTGATCCTTAACTGAGCATAGATGTAAATGTTTATGGGTCACAGCATCCACTTACCATCAAGTGGACTGTGTGTTCGTTTGTCACCTTTATTCTATATAAAAGCAACCAGGGGATTTTTATTGACTGCTTTTTTTAATGACACTATTTCTTGCAGTGGGTTGTGGACTGCACATGTCTGACGAAGAGGGTGAAGTGTTCGACAACCGTTGTCTGCGTGAGCTGGAAACTCCGCGACGTTCCTCGCCACAGCGGCTGTCGGAGCTGCGCTACAGGAACTCGCTGTGTCCGCCGCACCTCAAGAGTTCGTACCCCGCCGAAACACAGTTCGTGCCAGCACTCCACGAGGAAGACATCAAGGTAAGCGACCTTGCAACCTCCAGCCCAGATTAAGCAAGAATAAAATACGTATGCTGGTAAGAGCCCTGACTGGACACTGTTGTCTTAAAAACCACATGGATATGCCGATTCTGTTCCTTAACGGAAGAAATACCTCTGCACATACTGATTGTGGACCGGCGTGTGTTAATGCGCAAACGTAACAGTCATCCGGAAAACTACGTACTTAGACCAAAAGTGAAATTGCTTACAGCTAAGCTACTCCTTCAATTCATTGAAGATATAAGGTTTGGCTGTGAACTATGGCCACAACAGCGGTCAAAATAGATCTTATAGGTTGCAGTGATACTAATCTTTTTAGATCTGCATAGCTGCTTGCACAAATAAAAAAACCTTCAGGCTTCTCTGAGGTGTATGGAGATGTGAGGTTACACATTGCCTATGTGAGTTGATAACACCGGCTCCTTCTTCTTTTCATTCTGTGAGACATATGTTAATTGTATTTAGAATGGTGCTGTAATATTTTTGTGGTTTGGATATACATGTGACTACTAGTGAAATAAGTACACGTGTATACAGTTACAGCCTTTGATAGCAGAGCCCACTGCTGAAAATAGGCCTCCCCCGTAGATTGCCTCATAGGAGGGATATCTGCCACAGTTTATTTATAATCGTTATTAGGAACTACTGATTTATTTCCCTCTATCGCCTCTTACGACACCCACAGGATGATATGGGGTAGTGGATATTCTCACACTGCTAATACATTACACGCGTATATCCAAATCAAAAAATGGAGATGAAATTTCAGCAAGTAGTAACGATCGCAAGTAGAAATTATTTTACGTGGTAGAGGCACGCAGTAGCTATATTATAGTTGTGCATTAATGGGTTGGCTCGAGCGGGGCAGGACCACGCTCTCACAGAATACCAGCGTAAAATAGCAGTGCTGCTGTGTTTCGTAGGCTGAGTCTAAAAGGGACTGGAATTGAGGCATTCCGTCTTGGTCCTCAGGGGTGACAACGTATTTGCATTTTGATTTTTAATTGAGGATAAATGTCTATGGGCCACAGCATCCACTTACCATCAGGTGGAGTGAGTGCTCGTTTGTGACTCAATTTTATTTAAAAAAAATTTCTAACAAAAGCAACGGATGGGGGTGGGGGTTATTTATTTATTTAAATATGTGGTAGGACTTCTTTCCGCTTCTAAGTCTACCTGAGTTGATACCAAACTTAGCTTTTTCTACCGCCGAATAAGCAGTGCTTACGCTGCCGTGTTCCGCTCTGTAGGTTATAGCCAAATGTAACGATACATAATTGTGCCGACACGATACCGATACCGATTATTGTAGTAAATAATCGACGATACCGATACCGATTATTGTCGTAAATAATCGGCGATGCCGATACCGATACCTTTATCGGTGGCTTAGTAGAAATAGAAACAAAAAACAAATAAATAACGAATAATTTACATTATTATGCATAAAAGTTGCCTTTATTTATCAGAGACTGAACCTTGACAAGGGAAAATATCAAATAAAATTTCAATTCAAAAATTCATAGAAAACATTTATTTATATGAAATAATTAAGAATATTATCAAGCAATCAAAGCGCTAATTAAAGTAATTTTCAGTGATAAACTTTGTGTAATGAAAATTAATGATTTCTTATATTTACGCGAACACTACACATTGAAATAATACTAATTTTTACGGAATTTATCGCGTATATTTAACTTTTTTACCCGACGTTTCGAGAGCTTTACAGCACCCATGGTCACGGGAAGGACTGAGATGTTCAACGTCCAGCTGTCATAGTTAACCGCGGTTACCATAGATTAATAATTAAAGCTCTGGAAACGTCGGGTAAAAAAGTTAAATATACGCGATAAATTCCGTAAAAATTAGTATTATTTTAATGAAAATTACTTTAATTAGCGTTAGTAAACCGATATATATTAGAGAGGTAGATTTTTGTTAAGAAAACAAAGTTTGTTTAAATTGTTAGTAGATAATCTGTTACGCAAATCATTTTGTATGAGACAGACACTCCGAGGCAACTGAGCCAAGCAAGATAGTCGCGCGTGCGTTGTTCGTTTCGCGCGCTTTTCAAACTCTTGATATCGGTTTTGTTTATAATCGCCGATGCCGATATATCGGTCTACCGATTATATCGGTATGGGTATCGGAATCGTTACAACCCTAGTTATAGCGATTCCTTCTTTGTTTGAACTTGACTGTAGATATCCATGAGCTGATTGTAGCCACTCACCATCAGGTGCACTGTAGTTCATTGGTCTCTTCAGAAATATAAAAAATAAAAAAGTCAAGAATGTTTATGTTCATAAAATCTTTTCGATTGGACAATGTACTTTGGAATTTTATTTTTTAATGTCTTTACTAAATGTACTTTATTTTTGTGTTTTATTATGTTGTTGGTGCAACCCGCCTTCCCATAATTTATTTTATTGCACAAATTAGCTTCCGAGATGATACTGAGATCCGAATTAAATGCTCGCAACTCAGCGTAGCTGCTATTATTTACGAGGGGCACACTGAAATGATCGGGAATAGAATATTTTGTATTGCGTTACAATAAAATCTTTTTTAGAATTTGAATACTGGCCTCTTAGAATCTTAATGACATTCAAACAATTTAAAAAAATGTTTAAAAACAAAAACTATCTTGGTTTAAAGATGCACACGTCGTTAACAGAAATGGAGCTCAAGCGTGAACATTTCCATGACATCATTTATCACATTTTTGTTGCGGCTTATTTCAAGATAAATGTCTCAGCGAACTTGTTTCGATTTATGATGTTGAAGCACCGAGTCAAACGACAATATACCGCTGGTATGTCCAGTTCCGACGCGGTCGTGTGTCGCTCAGCACTGTTTCTTCTGCAGGTCGATCAAGACTGAAAACATATATTAGTAGATCGTCATGTGACATACGAGCAGATTCGGGCTGTTATCAGTATCGGAATGACTGCAATTCAGTCGATATTACATAATGAGCTGTGTGTAAGAAAGCTAGTTTCCCACTGGGTTCCCCATGATTTGTCCGAAGAGCAAAAGGCGGCTCGTGTAGATTGGTGCCGGAATACTCTGCAACGCTTCAACGGAGTGAAGTCAAATGCCGTTTATAATATCATCTCAGGTGACGAAGAAAACATCAGCCAGCAGTTTGGGTCTTCGAAGACGAGCTCAAACCAACGAAAGTGGTTCGCTCCCGCAGCGGGTCAAAGAAATGGTCGCTACGTTTGTCTCGAAAAAGGGGCATGTTGCTACAATTCCATTACAGGAATGCAGAACAGTTACCGCTGAGTGGTATATCACGGTTTGTTTGCCAGAAATGATAGCCGAACTCCGAAAAAATAATCCGAAACATCGCATCATCTTACATCACGATAATGCGAGCTCCCATACGGCTCGGAAGACAAATGATTTTTGAAGCAGGAAAATGTTGAGCTGATGAGCCATCCTCCGTATAGTCCTGACCTGAGTACAAACGATTTCTTTACATTCCCTAGAATGAAAGATTGATTTATTACGCGGTCATCGGTTTGAAGACCCCGAAACAGCTGTGGAAGCGTACAAATCAGCCATTTTGTCAACATTAAATTCAGACTGAAATTACTGTTTTAATGATTGGTTTGCACGAATGGAAAAGTGCATTAAGTTGAACGGAGAATACTTCGAAAAACAATAAAATATAATTTAGCTATACCGTGCATGTGGTTTTTCTTATTCCCGATCATTTCAGTATGCCCCTCGTATTCTGTGACGTAGCTCAGTATTTAGGTACTAATACCTACTTTATGCACCAACAGTGATGATTATTGCATATTCCTAATAGGAAAGACTTGCGAGGGATGGTTTGCTTGTAGCTAATTCACCCATCTGCTAATGAAAGAAGGGCTATTACTTGTTAAATTTAGTTTAAATCGTTTTATGAAGGATTTAAAATAAGTGGATAACAAATCAAAAAAAGACATTGTAATTCATTAGGATTCTATAATTATAGTCAACCAGAGGCCAGAGAGAAAAAAGTTGCTTCTTCTTATACGGTATTAATACATCTATTGTTTATCTTATAAATTTATCATTTTTTGAAGGCTGGTCCCACAAACTCCTCTGTAGGAGTACGCCAACAAAGGAAGGAGGTGGGAATCACGGCGTATAAGAAACCCGGCCCGCCCACGCCGAGCAAGCAAGCCGGGAGATTATCTGCAACGGTATGTTCAGTTATTTTTTGCTGTATTTTAATCATTAATCTCTGCCAAAATGAGCAAAACGGACACTTTTGTAAGATGTAATACATCAAGTTAAAAAAAATATTTTTTGTGAAGTCGGTCATCACGCGTGGGTTAAGCGCAGCGAACTTTTTTACTTTAAATGGGGCCATTGTGCAGTCTTTATTTCATTCATAGGTAATTTAAGAGGTGTAACATTTGTTTTCACTCTACCAAAAATATTAAGGAAAGCGAAGATGAATAGAACTCATCATCGTCACAATCATCAGCCCGTGAGTCCACTGGACTTTTACCTTGGTAAGAAGCATTGGATGTGTCTTAAGGGGATCGTGAAGCTGTAAATTTTCATACAAAAAGCGATAACGTTTCCCCACCCGTAAACATAGTTTAATTTTCATAATTTTTGGAAATTTCGCGCCGACCAAGGATTCAGCTTTTGCGGGGTGATGACAGCACCACCGCAAGCAGAATGTCGCTGGCTTGTATGGGATCGAAGTGTTTTTTTTTGAACAATTTGTCTTTTTTTAAACAATTCCTTTAAAGAACAAAACGTGACGTTAAAATTTATTTTTCAGTCTGTACTACTCTTTTATAATCATAAACCGGCGTAGAATAGCAGCTTAATTACTGCTGTATTTCGTAGGGTGAGTGTAGAGATCCGGAGGCCCTTTTTCACTGGAAACCAGGCATTCCATCTTAGTCCTCAGGGGTGACAACGCACCTGCGTTTTGATTCTTAATCGAGGATAAATGTAGATGTCTATGGGCACAGCATCCACTTACCGTCAGGTGGACTGTGTGCTCGTTTTGTCACCCTAATTGTTTAAAAAATAATACACAAGATTAAGATAAAAGTTAAAAAAATACAACAGTTAAATTACAATTACAACTATAATTTTTAATTTGCTTTTGTTGTGTTAACAATTAAATTATTTTTGTATTTATTTGTATAAAGTAGTTCAAGTCGTAGCTATTACTTATGTGTAATAAATCACACAAGTATGAGAAGAATAATTCAGCTTCACTTTTATATTTAGTCTGATTATAACTTTTTTATCCGATATTTGAAAAATCAGCCCTAAGTATAATATGAGCAAGTATTTATTATAAATATTAAAGCAATGTACAATTATAACCATATGGTTATTCAATGCTTTCAAAAGTGTGCAGCAATAAATACCCTACTACCCCTGATGACAGAGGACTTAGAGTAAGCTAGGACTAGGGAGTATCTTTATGAAATTAAGAACGCAGTTTAATATAACCTACACTCTTGATATCTTACCGCTGTGGTCAGTGGTGGGAATATTCCAAAAACACTATTCTTATCTTAATTTATCTCTTATACAGGATTCGGAACTCCGGGAGTCAGTTCGTGTGGAGGCGGATCCCCATGCATCGCGCAAGACCACGACTCCCTCACGGCTGCGTTCATTTTTCGGTACTGCTAGGAACGACGCAGTTGAAGTAAGATTAATTTTATATCTTTGTGAACAGTAGCTGCTTGTGGGGGGCTGGTCTGATCCAGCTTGCGATGTGTTACTGTTCCTTTTTACGTTTAGTTTTTTTTTTCAATCGGTAGATCCAGTGCCGTGGGTAGCGATGAAATAGACTCCATTAGCCCCTTCGATCAACAATACTACTAGATTCCCGATAAGCGCTTCAAAAACGGCCCGAAAAATAAGACCACAAATACCTTTGTGGTCTTATTTCAAATTAGTATGGTCCAATCGTAGCCATTTTAACAAACATTGAAATTTCATACCAACAATAAAATAGAATAAGCACGAAATTGTTAACATAATAATTTTTATCCTTATCACTTATACTTTAATTTTCATTTTAGAATAAGTATTTGTGTACTTATGACTTTTTATATTCAGGCGGTATCTTTGTCGGATGCCATAACTTAAATAAACATATTTTGCAATTGTATTTAAACTTTATGTTTGTGTGATAAGGTTTATAATAAACTGAAGTTGATGATATTTTTAATCTTTTTTCAATATTTCATAGTAATAAATATAGGTGTATTACGTGTGTGCAAACGTGGCCATTTGAGCGACTTATTTTTGTTCCTGATCCTTAATCTAGTATAATCATTGATCGAAGATTAGCCCATTTACTTCCATGGGTGGTCGTAATAGTGGAGTCTCTCACTCGATCTCGGCAGATGGCTGTATACAATCTCTAGTATATGCCAGGTGTAATATTTCCGGGTCAGTAACGGTGAGGAGCGTCAATGACGTGTGAAAAGTGGTACTGCTATCGTCAGTCCTACTGGCAGTAATGGCGATTATGTTAATCCTTAACATGGTAGGAGATATCCAGCAGTGTACTGTTATAGCCTGGTAAAGAAAGAAATAAAAGACAATAATAATTTACCGATGGGTGTATGTTATTACTCTTTTTCAAATAAAATATTCGTACTATTGTAGTTTGGCCGTTAAAAATGGCATAAAAAAATGAATGAAAGAATTATAACGCCTACGGTCCAGTTTTTGGGCGAGCTTACTAGACTAGTATCACTGCGAGAGAGAGAGACGTAGATCATGCAGGTTGCAAGACCAGCATCACTGCCACCTGTGGGATCTATTGTGATTCATGATATGGCTTTTTTTATTTATTTATACTTAATTCTTTATCTATATCAAAAGGTTTACAAAAAGCGAACTAATTACCTTTATTAAGTTCGCCTTATATTCTTTATAGGCCCTATATTCTTACCAAGTTTAAAGGAGACAATCATTATTGAGCCCACTAAAAATTTTAACGTAACATAATGGTTGATTAAAACTACTTTTACGGATTTTATCGCGTTTATTTGACTTTTAATTACTTTTATTTTTAATTCCCGACGTTTCGGGCGCTTTCCAGCACTTGTTTATGGTCCGATCTATGCAAAATGAACTGACTATGTCCTGAGGTCTTGCAGTGGTATGCTTGGGTTTAGTTTTAATTTTATTGATTATAGGATCCCAAGCAAGTGGTAGTACCCAGCCTCCTTCTCTATTGAAATTAGGATGTTTTTTAATTTCAATAGTTTCGCGTATCATCCTTGGTAGGAATCGGTGTTTTTTCGCGAGGATTTGTGGTCTATCAAATCTGATGTAATGGTTGGGGTCGTCTAGGATATTTTCGCAAACTGCAGACTTCCCGGAACGTTGATGCTTCACATCAGCTATATGTTCAATCATTGTGAGATCAATTAGAACCCGCGTAAAAGAACTCAATTAGAACCGGGGAAGGACCACGCTCTCACAGAATACCAGCGTAAAATACTAGCTTATTGCTGCTGTGTTTCGTGTGGTGAGTTTTCTTAAATATACATATTGTCTATCTGTGTTTTTATCTGGATCAAATCTGTAGGAAAGCAAGCTCAATCTGCCCTAAGCGATGATTTCATACAAAGTAGCTCTCATTACTGACTAATCTTCCTTACCTAGGATGACAAACGAGCACAAAGTCCATCTGATGGTAATTGGATGCTGTGGCTCATAGACATTTAGAATTTATCCTCCATTAAAAATCAAAATACAGATGCGTTGTCACGCCTGAGGACTAAGATGGAATGCCTCGTTTCCAGTGAAAAGGGTCTCCGGTTCTCTACACTAACGATACGAAACACAGCAGCATTGAGCTGCTATTTTACGCTGTGAGAGCGTGGTCCTTCCCTGGTTAAACCGACCCATTCGTGCTACAACTATAATATAGTTGCAGCGTCGCTCTACCACCTGAAAAAAACTATAAATAACAATATAAACTGGATTCAATTTATCATTGAATTTATATATGGTGTTCTGATCAGAATTGTGCTGCTATTTTATTTTTGTATTGTATAATATGTATTTATATTCTACGGCTTTGTTTCAGGGAACACCACGCAGCAGAAGATTGAGTAATTTCTTCAGAAAAAAATGATTATGACCGCAAAACAATAATTAAAATACACGACTTGCTTTTTATTAATTGTGTTATTAAATTCAAGTTATTTATTTCGAACATTGAGTTTTATTTAGTTCACACGTCAACCTGTAAATAGTTTAATTCAAAATAGTGGTATTGATACCCTTAAGAGGAAATGGTATCGTGTTCACGTAGGTTTTTAGGGGGTGAAGCAGACGCGGACGGGCGATCGGGGCCTCGCGTGCATGCGGCTATAGTATGTGTCAAATCTATTGAGAAAAACGGACAATGACCTTGCGGTCGTTTAACCAGGGGTTACAAACCTTCAATATATAGGCACATTTTATATGTAGTACTTTCTTTATTTATAATGATTTTTTATAATGATTGATATAATATATATTTATTAACTATTATTAAAAAGTTATGTAAAAGTTCGCTGTAGAAGAAAAATTATCTATTGTTATAAAGTACTTTATTCATTTAGCAACAAAAAGCATTAATTTATTACACATATAAAGATTCGAGTGATAACAACACCGAATAAGTACGTACTTATTCAAAAGATAAAACTTTATTTTCAATATTATATAGGAACTTTATTTTTATTCGGTGCATGCGGGCCGGCTCAAAAAAAAGTGATGCATCTCTGGCTGCCATTGTCACGTTTCTTTGTTGTAGGTTTGCAACATATCATTGATATGCAGAAGAAACAGCGTTGGTGATAGCACGCAGCCTTGTGGAACGCCAGCATGCCAGCAGCGTCTACTACGACCTTGATGCTCCGATCTGCAAGAAAGCTAGTGATCCAATTGCATAACTTTTCCGGAAGCCCATAGGAAAGGAGCTTCGAAAGAAGCGCTTTGTGCAAAACCCGATCGAAAGCCTTCGCTATGTCCAAACTAATTGCCAATGCCTCGCCCTTGGACTCTACTGCCGCCGCCCATCTATGAGTCAGATAGACCAGAAGATCACCAGCTGATCGATTACAACGAAAACCGTATTGGCGATCACTAATCAACCGCTTATTCTCAAGGTACCTCATGAGCTGGCAGTTTACAATGGATTCCATTGTTTTGGAGAACAAGGAGGTGATGGCGATGGGCCTAAGCGGTCGCCTTTTTCAGGGATCGGGTGGACGAAAGCCGTCTTCCATGATTTTGGGACTACGCCTAGAGAGTAGAACTACCGGAAAAGACGCGTTAAGACCGAAGCCCACTCTGGAGCACAAGTCCTCAGCACAATTGGGGGGATACCGTCAGGCCCACACGACTTGTTAATGTCCAGGGAGAGGAGTGATTTGCGAACTGAGCGCTGTGTAAACCGCACCTCCGGCATGGAGAACTAAAACCGGGATGGTCGGCGGCGTACTCTCGCCGTCATCCAGAGTCGAGTTGGACGCAAAGAAATAACTTAGCAGATCGGCTTTCTCCTTTACGGCATGGGACAGTGAGTCGTCCTCCCTGTGCAGAGATCGAAGAGATGGCTGACAGAAATTCCCCTGGACAGCCTTGACGAGACCAGAATGCACGTGATCCAGAAGGAAGGCGAACTACTTTCTAGCCAATTCGGCCTATGTGCTCTGACTTTGCCTTGCAATGATTCTTTTGAAGGACCTGGAAGCGGAATTACACTTCTTTTTTAGCTTACATCCCGGGAAGTTGATGCGTCAGTACAAGCTTGGTAGCACTCCTGACACAGAAATCTACTCGTAAATAATAAGACATGAATAGATTGACTTGGCCATCGCAAGAAAACTTAATGTATCTCACAAGTAATACATATTAAATTAGATTGCTTAGTGCGATTGCCAAGTCAATCTATAAATTTAAAATATATAAGATTTTTAACATTGATATGGTGACCATAAAATGTTGTTAGGTTAGCTAATTACGTAATAACTTAAAACAGAAGGACACTCAAGTAGGGACTGAATAAGTTAACCGACTTGGTATTACATGGATCTCACAACTTTTTACGGTAGAAAAACTGAGTTGCGAGACTTGGTTTTTTTACAAGTTATGTTTTGATGGCATCTCATTTCTTTTTGTAGATAAGATAGTCCTACTTATTTATTTTCCGGTACCTTCTACTTTTTGAAAACCATCAACGTACCTATCCACACCTATTTACAAATATATCGAATCATTCACTGCAAATGTAACTTTGTAATTCTATATATTTATATGGGATTACAAAGTTATTTATGCGGTTAGTGTATCTAGAAAACTGGACCGAAATTAAAAAATATTTTAGTTTTTCCATGATTTATACATTAAACACTAATTGTATTTGTAGCGGCGCTGTCGTCGCGCCACTAGCACACCGAAACACACCGAAGCCTAAATCGCGGTATTAAAATTTCGAATCATGGACAGTATATACAGAACTTCTCCGAACTATCACACGGAGTGTCGGCCGCTCCCCAGGCAGAACACCTTGCCTGGCGGGAGATCTCCCCTTTTTCCTTCCACGGCTACAGTGGTGACCATCCGACGTGATCTGAACACGCAACCAACAACCTTCGGAAACTTCAAGCTTCATCATCGTCATAGAATACCCCCCACCCATTCGCTCCCGAACAGATATCGTCTGCAGTCTTCATATCCTGCAAGCCATCTAGCTTCACAAGGTTCATCGCAGCACTGGAATAATAATGCTTCCTGTTCCTTCAAGCTACTCTCTGCGCTATACAGTGTTCGGCACGGCTCTGAGCCTTACTGCTCGCCTCTGCTTCACGGCACTCCCGCAGATTACTTGCCTTCTTCTCGACTCAACGCAGACTACAAGGCAATCTCGTGGCACTTGCACATTCGTTGACAACGAGACTTCACTATCGACCTCCGGTCTGAGCCGGGGGTGATGTAGCGGCGCTGTCGTCGCGCCACTAGCACACCGAAACACACCGAAGCCTAAATCGCGGTATTAAAATTTCGAATCATGGACAGTATATACAGAACTTCTCCGAACTATCACTTGGAGTGTTGGCCGCTCCCCGGGCAGAAAACCTTGCCCGGCGGGAGATCTCCCCTTTTCCTACCACGGCCACATATTCTAAATTTGAAGTTCCCATATCTGCAAGAAGTGCCTGAGAGCAGAGGCGGCGTAAGGCGTGGGCTACGTGGGCCGCCGCCTACGGCCTCGCACCCTGGAGGTTTATGCATTATTTAAACCGTAAACGCGCCGAAAATATTTCATTGTCATGAATCGATATTATTGACATAACTAAATATGTTTTTATTCAGTCTAGCAACATTAATTTGCGTTGCTATTGCGGACGATCCCCACTGCGGGGCGACCATTATATATCTACAGTAATCTATAGGGGCGACTAAGGCTGTGGATTCCCCGTACTGTTTGTTAGACATAGAATACTGACTTAATTTAATCGTAGGCGCGGGGCAATCGAGTAAAGAGTGCGGTACAGCAGCCCACGTGGCAGCTGTACGTATATTTTCGCGCTATACGCACATGAGTAGATAAACGGAACACACACAAAGCTTCTTAAGAACTTGCAAAATTGTTACCTATTTTGCTAGGGTTGTCACTACAGGTGAAGACAAATTAAAGCTCTAGAACGTTTACGTACATTTTGTGACTGAATTAAAGAATATCGACAAACTTGTTTCGAAAAAAGCTTGTCTGGTTCAGTGGAAAAAACTGTTATGATCTGCCAAAAGACTTTAAAAAAAAGAGTAGCAAAAAAGAAAAAGATGTTGGATTATGAAGGCAAGTATTAACCTATACAGTTTTCTAAAAGTCGGTATTAAACTGATTTTTTCAACACCATGCTTGTTCAATTATAACAAATATGGATTTGAGATTTATGGCTTTAAACCCACATTATTAAAATTTTGGTTTACTTTATGATTTAAACAAGTTAAAAAAATATTCCAAACCATCTAATATTAAAATAACTGTCAAGATTTACACACAGCCCTGCGAGTGGGTGAAAGCAGTGACTTTTAACCTTACGAGTTATGTGAAGAATTACAATTAATGATCCCTAATTTACCTAACTTCGTAGCAGATGTGAAACAGCTTCTGCAATAAGTTACAGAATCATCACATCAATATCGTCATTTAACAATACCGATCAGTACAGTCTCCGCTGAAGGAAGCTTCTTAAAATTAGTACTCATTAAAAATTATCTCAGGAATGCAATGTCACAGAAAAGACTTTCAGCATTGAAAGTTTTATCTATCGAGACAGATAAGAATTTCAGGCTTCTAGTTTTATCCACTACGAAGTTATAGGGGTTCGAAAATGGCCTGAATTGCTTCGAGAAAAGTATTGTACGGCCGTGTCGCTTTTTTGCTCGACTTGGCGGGGCGCTGCCGTGCCCCCAGATAGTAGAAGGCATTTCTAGTACCTTATTATTTAGATTTCTGTGACTCCTGCTTATAGCATGATGCTATTTACAGAAGCGACCAAACCATGGCTGAGGTTTGCCTCCGATGGGCACCACAGAGAAAGGAATAAAACGTTCCATACATTCCATAAGTACCACATCAGCGACGGAATCAGCGTTGGGATCATTCGGCCAGTAGCAAACCCGCCCCAAGGGTAGGATGCGAAGAAAGACCGCATCCTATCCCAATCGGCTGACCTATAGGGCCAAACACGGCGGCAGCCTGCAGAATGCAACCGCGATTTCAGCGTGAGTGGCACCACACTCCGGATAAGACAATGGTCCGAGGACCCTAAAGGGGTGTCGACGGAAATCTGATATTCGTCCGGATGAGAGGTCAGCAGAAGGTCCAACAGGGAAGGTGTATGATCCTCCACATCTGGAATCCGCGTAGGCGAAGTAACCAGTTGTGTCAGACCATATCCTAAGGCAAAATCATGAATAGATCTCCCCGCATGATCGGTTAAAAGTGAACCAAGCCACTCGGCGTGATGGGCGTTAAAATCGCCGAGGCTCACGATCTCTGCGGAGGGGATCTGCTGTAGCAAAGAATCTGTAGCCATTTGGACGTGGTCGAAGAATCGTTCTGTTTCGACATCACCG